GCTATTAGGTTGGAGGCCATCGCTAGCAGGTTGGAGGCCATCGCTATCCGGTTGGAGGCCATCGCTAGCAGGTTGGAGGCCATCGCTAGTAGGTCGGAGGCCATTGCCAGTAGGTTGGAGGCCATTGGCCATATGGAAGGTCGCTACAGGAGGTGCAAACCAACAGTTGAATGGGTCCTTGAAACGATTGGCACCCTTCCATGTGGCTGTGCATATGCCGCAAGTTATGGCCGAGGCGCCTTGTGTGGTGGAGACCCAAGATTCAGGCGCCTTTGGATGGCAGAGGATCCATTTGGGGCGGCTGCCTCTCTGAGATGTACTGTAAGATTTCTGTCACGAAGATTGCAACAACTCAAACATCTGGATGCAAACGATGTTAAGTTTCCCACAAGTCTAGGAACCAAATCATTAAGCCCGAGTCCTTCTGCGTCGTAGGTCGTAGCTACTGAAGCTAGTAGCTTACATACTTACCTCCTCTTACCGCTGCATCTAGGCGGCCGGATTTCCGTGCTGGACCCGGGCGACCTTGCAGTACTGGTGCGGGGTCCTGGGGGGTGTCCGACGTGTCTCGGTCGGAGTTTGGGTTTTGGAGACCGGTTCTAGTTCAGTATCTTGGTACGAAGCAGGCTACAACTAGGGTATGAAACACATATAAGGTCGAAAAACACAGCTAGCAATGGCCTCCAACCTGCTTGCGATGGCGCTTCCAACCTAAAAGGGTCTGAAAGTCGAAAGAGAAAGGTCTAAAGGAACATGATCGTAGAGCTCTGGAAGATGCAAGGTCTTGACCTTTGCTACTAGGAGCAACGACGCTACTAGGGGCTCCTGGCATCGCTACGAACGAAGCAAGGACGCTACGGTAGCAAGGACGCGATGGTTCCTTACAATTGATATCAATCCGTAGACAGACATCTGCAGCGGTCAATGAAAGTCCCATCCGCGACTCAAACGTGGTATGACATAATCCTACCAACGTGCACATCTTGCCTGCTATGTGCAGTCTTTGCTAGATCAGGCAAATCCAATTCGGTAACTTCCAAAAGATCTTACAACCTTAGTTTTCATATTTGTTGTAAGGTTTTTCCCCAAACAGTACACTTAGGGGTTCTTACGGTAAGTGTTAAGCAGCTGTGCTTAGATCGCTGGGGCGCGCGTGCGTGACCGGCTAATTCGCTGCTATTTTACAGTACATTCATGCCTTTCGAAATCGTCGACATGCATTTCGAATGCGCAGGCTCGCGAAGTCTGGGTGGCGGCGGCGAGTGCTTGTCGCGACTGCGCTCTCGTTGTGGTGCCGTGCTCATTTTCGGACATGGTGGTCACTTTTCGTGGCAGGTGCAAGGGAAACCTCGTGTGTTGGTGGTCCAAAGTCGACTTTTTGTGACAGGTGCAAAGGATCGGAGCGGCTTTAGATTGAGATGCATATTTCGTGGCAGGTGCAGCACTTTGGACATGGCGGTGATCGTCCCGGCGCTCTGATTTCGTGACAGGTGCAGTGAATCGTGAGTTTTGGACATGTGGCTCGTTTGCAGATTTCGTGGCAGGCGCAGCACTTGGTGAAGCTCGAAGTGCAGCTTCGGGGCAGGCGCAGCGCTTGGTGAACCTCCAAGTGGAGATTTCGTGGCAGGTGCTTCTCTTGGTGAGCCTCCAAGTGCAGATTTCGTGGCAGGCGCAGCGTTTGGTGAAGCTCGAGGCGCAGATTTCGTGGCAGGCAAAAAGTACTTATGAACCTCGAAGCGCAGATTTCGTGGCAGGCGCATGCACTTGGGCAAGCTCGAAGTGCAGATTTCGTGGCAGGCACAGCACGTTGTGAACCTCGAAGTGCAGATTTCGTGGCAGGCACAGCACGTTGTGAACCTCGAAGTGCAGATTTCGTGGCAGGCGCAGCAACAGCACTTTGTGAACCTGGAAGTGCAGATTTCGGGGCGGGCACAGCGCTGTGTGAACCTCCAAGGACAGATTTCGTGGCAGGCCCAGCAGTGTGTGCTCTCAGATGCTCACTCGCGCTCTCTCACTCACACTCACTCTCACTATCTCTCACTCACCAGTCACCACTTTCTGCTTATAGACCTCTCACACACACACACTGTTTGGGGTCTCTTGCCGGGATAACTTATCACCAAACAGTGTGGACACACTTAGGACTTAGGGGTTCTTACGTAGTAGTAGTTCAGTTAAGCAGCTGTGCTTAGATCGCTGTGCCGCGCGGCCGTGCCCGGCTAATTGCCTGCTTTTACAGTACATTCATGTCTCGCGAAATCCTCGAGCGCATTTCGACTCGCAGGCTCGCAAAATCTGGGTGGCCGCGGTGAGTGCTTGTCGCGGCCGCTCTCGTTGTGATGCCGTGCTCATTTTCGGACGTGGTCACTTTTCGTGGCAGGTGCAAGGGAAACCTCATGTGTTGGTGGTCCAAAGTCGACTTTTTGTGACAGGTGCAAAGGATCGGAGCGGTTTTGCTTTGAGATGCATATTTCGTGGCAGGTGCAGCGCTTTGGACATGGCGGTGATCGTCCCCGCAGATTTCGTGGCAGGCAAAGTACTTTGTGAACCTCGAAGCGAGATTTCGTGACGGGAGGCGCGCACTTGGTGAAGCTCGAAGTGCAGATTTCGCGGCAGGCGCAGCGCGTTGTGAACCTCGCAATGCAGATTTCGTGGCAGGCACAGCGCTTTGTGAACCTCAAAGTGCAGATTTCGTGGCAGGCACACAGCACTTTGTGAACCTCGAAGTGCAGATTTCGTGGCAGGTGCAGCGCTAGGTGAACCTCGAAGCGCAGCTTTCGAGGCAAGCGTAACACTTTGTGCTTCTCACTCGCACTCACTCACTCTCTCACTCTCTCACTCTCACTTTCACTCTCACTCACACTCACCCTCACTCACGCCCACACTCACACGCACTCTCATTCACACTCAGTCTCACTCACACACTCACACTCACCCTCACGCCTCTTGCCGGGAAAATTTTGCTCTTGCATCCAGCAAACCAAAAAGAGAAAAACATGTTAGTCAACTGAATCAGATAATTTCATCTCCCAGTACCCATTCCTACATTTTGTCTCAGCTTATCCTATCCTCAGGAAAGGTTTCAGGAGTTTATCCAGCTTTAGCAAAGATTACTGGGCCCGTTCCTTTTAACCCACGAACTGTTTTCCAGAGGCCAGAGGCGCCATGAAATCTACTGTAATTGCGTTTGCAAACAGTCCATCGAGTTCGCTTTGCCTGGACATTTGGAATTTGGCTGTATCTGTGTAGTCCATGGCAAAACCCTCTCTTGTCCATCGACTTTGGCGTGCCCCCTGAGCTGCGCGATGTGGATCTTCATGTGCAGATTTCAGTGCGTGAAAACATTGTGCCAGATCGCCGCTGCTCACCGTGCACATCCGTGTGCCACAGGTATGCCCAGGTCATAAGCTCCAGGAACAAATAGCTACTAGTAGCTTCTTGTTACTAGAAGTAAGGCCAGGAACCCCTAGTAGCGTGCTTGCTCCTAGTAGTAAGGCCAGGAACCCCTCACCATTTTATTCCCGAAGCAGGTTATTCACCCGCGGCGCTTATGCCTTTGAAGGTTTTTTTTTTTTGGTGCCTCGTAAGGTTCGCTCCGGTTGTCCAAGGCGTTCGGTTTGTTCGCAATTTCGTTTTGGGCGGCTGGTTCAGGTCATCTCCAGTGGCCGCAAGGCAGGTATGGGGTGCTTCAGACACCCCACTGGACTGAGTTGACAGCTGGATGGTTCTGTTTTCAGACATGAAGGAACCTGGTAGAAGTGACAGCACAAACACCTATTGGTCGATGTGGTTGGGTTTCAGTTTCAGCTTTGTGAGGCATGACAGCTTTGTGGACTTTCTTTCAGCTGCCTATCCGATCCCTATCATCTCCTCCGCGCCAACCTCCGCTGGTGTCAGGTTTGGCTCTTGCGGGCGACGCTCCAATCACTGTCCCGTCATTGTCCCAGTGGACCATACAATTGACCTTAGACCGCATGTGGATGCTGAAAAAGCACTGACGAGGCTTCAAACAGACCTTTGTGGAAGGTTTCCCTTCTAGAAAAGGGTGTTTCTTTAGAGGCCAAACTTGTTGCAGCATAGTTTACGACTGATTTGCGACCCAGGTGTCGATGGTTTACGACCCGGCAACGTGGGGGTTCCTTCCTGGAGTCGGGCCTTGGCTCGCCGTGAGCTACTGTACCAGCTTCTGTGGATTGGGATGGTGTAGAATATCAGAATGCGAAAACCCGAGGAGTCAATCAGAAACACATGCTACACATGTTGCGTTCAAGACAACTGAACTTATTTTTTCAATTCCATTTCTCACAGGCCCGGAAACGACAGGACTATACTTTTTGATACTTTTTCTATTTCTTTTGGCCTAATGTGATGAGCTTGGTTTTCTGTTTAGCAAGTGGATAGGGCAAGGGGGAACACAGGCTTGGATTGTAAACGTAACATGTAAGAATCCCATCAACTCTTGTTGCCAAGAGCCCCAAGAGCCGAAAACGCACAGGGTTTCTGTTCACACTTCCGAACGGGCCAGTGTTGGGCGTCCGAAAGCAGCGCCACCAAAAACGGCCTTCCGATCCATCGGCGCCCAAGACGCCGGACGCGGCGCGCGACGCGAAAGTGGACGACTCGACGCCTACAGGTCTTGGTCTCCTTGGGGTCTTGGAGCTCCCAGGCGGCAGTCCAGGAGCTGCTCGGCGGGATGTGGATACGATGGATCACTATGAATTCGGATGTGGATCTTTGGGTGTGATAGATACAGTTGACCTTTGCACTTTCTGATGCCTTTGTGGAAGTTTTTGGCAGTCCGTCGTCTGTCCATTCTGCTGCCAGCTGTCCACCAAAACGGTTGTTTGGAGCGGCTCTGCCCCAGTCAAACATGGAAAAGGCACGTTTGACAAGGTACCAGGACCTGCAGGTGGATCCACCCCATGTGTCCGTTGCACGTTGCAGATGGCGTGGATCTGAGGTTCGGCTTCCCCTGCGCTGGTTTCGAGACTACACAGAAAGGCACCGAAGCGGACAATGATGGTTGGTGGTGCTGTGAAGGTTTGGTAGGTATGTGGGTCCGAAAACTGAGTACACAATTCTTTTGATCAGCTTCTTTTGCGTTTTCATCTACAAGAATTTTGGACATTTATCTTACAAGACCTCCTCCTTGGACACCCCAAACAGTTTCCTTGACATCTCAACATGGTTCTTGACCGCGTGCGCAGGTGGCGAGAAGAAATGCATGCCCATCTTTCAGGAGGTCGGGCGGGTATACAGTATACGAGAATAGTATGCAGTTAGGCCGCTTTGTAGGTTATTGTGCATCTATCTCTCTCTTTCTCTCTTGTCGTGGTACGAGGAGCGTCACATCGAACGGCTCGAACGGTCTTTCAGAGCGGTCGGACGCTACGAACGGGGCTGGTATCGCCACTAGGACGAACGGAGCCTGTTGGAGCGGCCGCCGGCCCGAAGGGGCACTGGGGACGTTGGCTTGGTCCGCCAGGCAGCGGTTCCCAATGTGCACTTGAACCGGTCCCTCCACTTGGCGCTCACACACTTTCGAGGAGTGGATGGGGGTGGGTGGAAGTGGGTGGAAGTGGGTGGAAGTGGGTGGAACTTGGAAATCCAACAAATCCGTTTCCCCGCTACAACTCAGCAATCCATCCGACGTCAGTCTCACGTCAGTGAGGCTTCGGAGCTGACAGCATTCAGCCTTTCAATATGTCTCATGTTCGGGATGTGAGTTGGGCCTGCTGGTTTGCCTCTCAAAGCTGAATACCAAAATCAATAATCCATCGACTCCGGCGCAGACGTCCTATGTGCAGGTAAAGGTCTTCGATCTTTGGTTGTGCTGGAGGACTCCGAGGGGAACGCTTGGAGGTAAAACCGAAGTCCAAGGATGTCTCCTTTTGTTGAAAAGTCTAGGTTGGAGGCGATCGCTAGTAGGTTGGAGGCCATCGCTACTAGGGGCTCTCCTGGCGCTACTGCTAGGAACAAGAAGCTACTAGGTTATCTGAAGATATCGAGAAACCCTTCATGGTGGTCCATGTGAGTATGTTTCTCTTTTAGTTTTTGCAAGTACAGTTTCCGTGGCACTTCACACAGCAGGTCAAATCTATGGCGGCAATGGGTGAAGGGTTTTCCCTGAAATAACATCACGAGCTGAAAACCCTGTGGGGTCACTGACTCTTTAGGGTTAGAAGTCGGTGCAGCATCACTTCTCCATGTCGGTGCTAGCAGCAAAACATGCAAAACCCCCGTCTTCGCCAGAAAAAGACCACCTCGACCAACTCAGGAGGGGCAGATTTTCTCTTTGGATCTTCTTTGGTTCTTTGTGCAGCTGCTGCCGGTGATCCGCCGGGGCCATGTGACGGAGAGGTCTGCTTTGGAGGAGGACGCGTTTGGTGGATGAGGAGAGGTTTGAATACGAAGAACATCCCATGAGGTTTGAAGATCTTGGATAGACTCCATGCCTATCTGAGAGCCGAAGCGTCCGCTTTTGGAGCGTGTCAACAAGCCATGCCTCGAGGGAGAACGGTTCACCGGTTCCACACGGGTTCCACGTCGCCCGAGACCTCAGGTCGGGACAGCAGCATTTTATGCGCCAGCGCATGGAATGAGAATGGCTTGGCGCCGGGCAAGCTCAGCGTTTGAGCTCCATGGACTCGGTGTGAAAGTTCAGAGTCTTAGAGCTTAGTCGAACCAATGGCCTGCAATGGTGTTTGGTCTAACTCTGCAGGGCTCCCAAGCTCATAGTTTTGAGCCATGAGGATTGCTTGACGCTGATCCAAGGGGCTTTTGAAAGGGCGATGAGAGCTTTCCGAGCCAACCTTTCTAGTGCTGGGAACCTGGACTTGACTGTTGAGACTGGGTAGCCACTTGTTTTGAGTCAGTAATTCTTATGTGTGGGTATGAGACACCCAAAATGCTCGAATGCCCATTGTGGTTCAACAGTCTGGCTTTCCACCATGTTCCCTTTAGTTGTCATGCTAGGAGGTCCAGCTCTCACCTCCCTCTAGAATTGAGATGATTTCGACAACGTGTGATTTGATCCATAGACCAGCAGCCCTCAACGCCCATTTGTGATTCTTGATATCCATACATACTGGGATGGCCATCGGTTTTGACCCGCTGCCATAGCCACTTGGCACCAAAGTGCACGGACACTCCAGACTCTTCAGGCCCTATGCTGCTGACCTAACAGTCCTTCTTCGTTCTGATGGGTTCTCTTCTACAGGCCATACTTTGGCTATGATGAGCATGGGCAGATGTACCCACATTGAGAAGATCTAGACGAATTCCATGCTTGTGTGCCAAAGTGCAGAGTGGCTTCAAGCAGGCTCATGGATGTTTGCTTTGGGCACGTAGCACTATCAATATATCAAGTTGCATGGCCATGGATCAATCTAGACTGCTCATGACCCACATGCAAGACAGCATGTCAGTCCCGGCCAGCATGGCTCATGGAGATGGATGTCCTGAAGGCGCTCCTCCCACAGTGGGCCAAGGACCGGCGATTGGACTTCAATGTTCAGTCTGTGAGTTGTTTTGTGGAATGCAAACGCCATCGGTTTGGTGGATGATCTTTGGGGCCGTTTTTCGCTTGGCATGGTGTGTGTTTTTGAATGTTAATGTAATCCATTGCCGTACCCAACTCAAGCCCCCAATCTTTGTTGAGTGACAAAGCTTTGTTCTGTGCCCTGGCCATGTTGCGCTTGGCCTGTGCCTTGGCCTGCTTGGCTGTGATTTTTGGCCGCCGCCACACACAACACCTCCATCCAGTGCAGGCGGACACAGAGTCAGTGACAGAGGAGGTGGAGCAGGTGGAGAATGCAGCAAGCCAGGTCCTTGACTCTGTAGTTCCTGACCCTGGCAAGGACGAGGACCTTATTCCACTGTCTGCTTCCCTACAGATTGCTCCCACCATGGATGTCATGCCAACCAAGTCTAGCATGACCCTGTTCCTGACCCATGTGGAATCTGGCGCCGCTCCGAATGTGAGTGTCGTGGTGACCTTCACAGCCAAAAATGAAGTGGCCTCCACAGAATTCGGTCAAGCCTTGGAGGGACTGCTGGCTGTGGGCCCACCCAGCCTGGCTGATGCTCAACAGCAATTATCTGCTGGGTAAAGGTAGCGCATGGCAGCATATACTTGCTAGCGTATGGTAGCCAGGATATGCGTGCAGGGCAAACCCACAGAATTTGTTCACAACGTTAGAGGTCGTGCAGCTTGATGAGATGAAGGTATCAGCGTGAAGATCACGAATCATTAGAATCACTAGAAACCCCAGCGCTGAGGGTTGAAGTGTTTCCACACATATGGACCTTCTTCTTTCTTCTTCTTCTTCTTCTTCTTAAGAACTGGCCTAGCCATGCTTCATCCATGTCCCACGGAATTTGTTGACGTTAGAGGTCGTGCCGCTTCATCATATGAAGGTATCGGCACCAAGATCACGAATCACTAGAATATACTAGACTCCCCAGTACTCAGGCTTGGAAATGTTTCTGCTTAACCCATGTCCATAGCGGCCACAGCGCTCAGGAGATGACCAAGATCAAATGGCCTGGTCGCCAAGTCACGGTGACGCTTGAGGGGCCTTTGGTCCCGAGCGCAGTGCACAGCATCGAAACTCTCTCACGCCACCTTGGCACTGTGAATGCCTCTAGGCAGCGAAGGTCGAAGCGATTTCTTGC